TAGAACAGTGGATTTAATAGGGGTCATTTTAGCAAAATAATGTCTTGATTAAAATGGAATTTGAAAAATATTGCCCTGGATTTTTATAATCATTTAATAGGCAATGCACAGAAAAAAAAATCTTTACTTAGTTCATTACTATTTCTATCAGTCATTTAGGTATAATACATGAAATATAATCAAAGCCAATTCATGCATTTTTTTCTGTGGATGGTGATGTATAAATTTTCAATTTTCTTTCAGTGTTCCTTTGTGATTTTTTGCTTCTACACTGATTCTGATTACATGATGCTAATAATAGACTTCTGGCTGCTAAGATCAAGGATTTTTATTTTGTAAATCATACTTGTGTAATAGAGTGTGTTTTTCAAGGATTTTAAAAATAAGTAGAGTATATAATAAGATACAGTTCTTAGTGTTAATAGGAGTTAGTAGCATTTTTCCATTGAAAATATATTAAATTTCAATAATTGTAATATCTCAATTATTTTTAATATTTCAAACATCAATAAATATTCTGGATGAAAATATTTTTATGTAAAAATCAACATTTGCTTGAAAATTGCAATGAAAAAACTTTCTATGTTTGGCTACTTATTTATCACATTATCCTACTCCTCTTTTTATAGAAAATGTGATTAAGAAGTTTGTGGTGGATAAGCCTGTGCTGAATCTGAAATTCTTAGACTTTTATATCACTTTTCTTCTGTTACCAAGCATAGGTCAATGATCAGTAATATCTCTGGAATCACAGAGGATGGTTGGGGAGATTAACTGATTGTAACAGACTGATTTGCTTTCTTTATACCCTTTAATTATAGAAGTCATCGTTTTATCTATACTCATAAATCATTTTAAAAAAAGAAAAGCACAATGCCACTACAAATGTTGTGTTGTTCACTTTTGATGGAGTTTCATTTAAACCTATCAGGGAACAATAATCTCCTTGAGTTTAGTGTGCATACCCAGATGTGTTTTAGGCTCTTGGAGGACAGACAGTGACATAGGCTCTGTCTTGAAGAAGCTGGTGATGTCATTTGTGAATCAAAATCTAAGATACATGAAGAGGCATGCAAAAGTAAATATAAATATTCTGCATAAGGTGCGGATGAGCTAGCATTTTATAAATAAATCCCCACTACTTTTAATGTATGTGAGAACTAATTCTCACTATTATTGCAGAGATTCTCTTTTCCTTTAACGCTACATATTGTAATCAAAAATCATAAAGGAACTCTAAGTGAAGATACTGCTTTCCAAGGTAGAATATTTACAATTCTGTTTACTCTTTGTCTGTAAATTCAGGTTTGCTCAATCTTTGAGCTTAATGCAAAGCACATTTTCAGATTCTTCTGTTTTAACTGGTGTGTTTACAAATAC